TTCCGCTAGCCTAGGGCCTACCTACCTATAATTAAAAATACACTCTGCAAATGTAAAGTCTCAATTAGAGGTTAATTTTTATTATACTGTACAACCGGACGGATGGACGAACGTACCTACTGGCACTGCTGGTAGGAGCACTGTGTTGCACACAGAGTTGGGTCATGAGTCATAGCCTATGACATAGGTTAGACGGACCTGGATTTAAATTACGTAACAAGCAAGCGTCAAAACAAATATTATGTTAGAGGAGGCCTATTAATGGACCTATTAATGGACTTATTAATAGGTAATTTATTCTTTATTAAACATATGTTAATGATGATATTATTATTACTATTACTATTTATTATTATTATTATTATTATTATTATTATTATTATTATTATTATTAATAATAATAACAGTATTTATTATTATCGTTATTATTAATTAATTCATAGTAATTATAATTTCCTGATTCACAATACGAAGGATTTCGCCACCTTACAACATCTTTTAAGAGGTCAATCATAGTAATGCAACCAGAAAATATAGCTCTCCACTTTATTTAAAAATATATTATGGAACAGTGCATTATATGAATAACAATTTTGTGAGAGTTTCGTCAAGTTATCAATATGGGCATATAATAAAAGACTAGAAACATCCTATCCAGTTTCTATGTTCTAAAATCATGGACAGATTTGTAATATACATTTTATTACACAGGTATAAACGAATGGAATTAACCTTGCTCATGATATACAATTATTGAAAACATAGTAAATTTTGAAATGAAAGTTAAAGGTTTTATTCATGAAGAAAGTAATATAAGTTTTTGATATTCAGTATTTAATTTAAAATGCTTAATTGTAATTGCTTTATTGCGTACCGTATTTTGACTGAAATACTTGTTTAGATATATTTATATTTATTATGTGGACCCCAATGGAAATAAGCCCACAAAGCTTTTTTTGGGGTTATCCAGGAAAAAAAAAATGTTTTCTATTTAATTTACATAGGCCTATTTAAGTTTTGTCCTCATATTTTGTAGTATTTAAGTGATTTTCTGAATAAATTCAAATCGGAGCGGATGATGCAATCACTAGAAATATACAGCGAAATAATCTTTCTATACCAATACTGTTTGCAATATGATACTATATTTTTTTCCTGGAAGGAAAAGCAGGAAGTTATGTAGACCTTTTAACACTGTTTAACACTGCAAAGTGTGTGTGTATTATAGGGTAACTTACTCGTGCACTTGTTATCTTTATAACAGGCCTAGAGTTTTTAGTATTGCATATTGTATGTTTCATGTAGACATACTTTTAATTTGGACGCACCTTTAGCATGTGAAAATATATTACAGTAGAACCTCTCCTTTGGGATACCCCTATTCAGGGCCAGAACACCCCTATCACGTGGCCGGGACACTCTTCCTTGAAAAAGGGGGAAATAATATCTTTTAATACAACGGCCTATCCAAACAAAAATTCTTAAAATAAGAAAAACAATCAATCAAATTAATATTGAGCAACATCAAACCAGATTTTATTTTTCTAAATCTTTAGTTGATGGCCTACTGTAGTGCATGTTACTTCGTATAAATACAACATTTGAGTCCATATCAGGGGCGGATCCAGAGATGTCCAAAAGGGGGACCAAGGGGCCGAAAGTGGGGCCGGTCGAGACAAGCTACCCTATGGGTTTGTTTGTTGTGTTTTGAATGCCCTAAAATAACCTCTGAGGCGTTTTGAGCGATCATTTTTTTTTTCTTTTTCTTTCTTTCTTTGTTTCTTCTCTTTTTTATACCTTCCAAAAATGGGGGGGGGGGGGGGTCCCCCATAAATCCGCCCCTGAATATTGATGGAAGATTTCGTGTTTTATTCTTCAGGATTCTAATAACTATACCACGTACAGATTCTTCAGTATCCAAAAAGCACCCTGATTAAGGGGACAATATCACGTTTTTGGTTAGTGTCCCTATTAAGGTGACACCTTTTTTGGACACGAAGGTACCCGCTTAATAAGGTTCTACAGTAGCTGTTATTTGATGAGACTGATACCGAGTCCAAAGCCCAGCAGCTTGTTATCAAGCACTTGCGAGCGATTAGCATACAATGTGAATCGTCAATCCCCTGTAATGTCTGAGGTTATATATCAGCCAGTTCGCTCAACCGCAAAGCAGACTGTTGCAGGCTCCGGGCGAATGAAAACATTGCAGGCAGGATATATACTTCATTGCCAAAAGATCCATGCACTACACGAAGCCTCTTCAGTTCTCTTTCAACGAGTTTACTCTCGTTCGGTGGTTCAAGAAAAATCAAGTAGAGACGTCGTAAATGCTACGTAAAATGGGAATGAAACGCAACGTTTTCATTTTTATCACTATCGTGGCGTTATTCACAGCGACGTATCTAACGTTTTTTAACCATCCTCCTGCAGAAGAAACGCTGATGGCGAACAGAGCCCAATCGATACGGCGACCAGAATGGATGGAAAAGACCATGGAGGTTAACTTTGTCCAAGAAGCAAACGCAGCAGCTAAGGACGTTTTCCTCCTCGATGAGCCAAAAAATAATAATATTGAGAAGTTTGATTCAAATAAGAAAAAACTGCTAGAAGCACCGAAAAACGATATCGAGCGAATCCATCAAAGCGCGATTGATAAAACAAAGTCTGCGGCTGGTGATAACAAAATTAGTAAGATAGCTGACAATAAAGAAAAGGAAAACTTTTTACCAGACACAGGTGGGAAACTGCCAAAAGAAGAAACAACATTGGTTGATAAACATGGTATAAAATTTTTCGATTGGGATAAATGGATCTCTGATCAGGGGTTTGTGTCTGTTGGAAAAATATGGGCTTTCTGTGGTAAGATGCATGACAAATTTAGCCCACTATGTAAGGGCGTGTATTAATTTGTATGATTGGCGTGTTATTGGCTGTAGGCCTACATCTGAAATATACCAATAGGCCACCTGGTCTGGTGGTATGACGCTCGACTTGATAGCGAGATGTTTAAGGTCGAATCGCGTTGAGCGGAGACACTTTTTTTTCTGATAACTGATAAATAATTTTAACTGATAAATAATGTTTCGTTGTCAGAGCTACATGTCTGATACCATAATATTTTTTGTTCTTATATATTTTGGCACTATTTCTATTATTCAATTACATTATTAGTTTGTATTTATATCACACTTTACTGCTATTGTTATGCCTATTTTATATAGGCCTGTGATGCAATCGTTTTTCATCCGTGAAGGACCTTTAAATCCGTTATTTCGCCATGTTTCTTTATCACAACATCTGGGTTTTGATACGGCCGATTAATGACAGTCCCTTTCCGTAAATACAATGCCCGACAAAGTTGCGCAATTTTGATTGCGCAATCTTCCCAATCCAGTTGTCAACACCTTTGCAATGTTATTGCTTTATTTTATGGAACAATTATACAGCTGGTCTCCAATGAAAGACCCCTCCAATGTAGGACCGCCTCCAATTAAAGACCAATTCTGTCGTCCCAAATTAACAAATTTCTTTTATTTTTATTATTCTAATTAGAGACCGAAGCTGCTAAAGACCATGGAAACCCCGTTCCTAAAATATTGGAGAGGCCTGTAGAACTATTTTTTATTGTCTAAAGCTTTAGTGCTGAATCAAATTTCTATTGTATTGGTTATAGAGGGGTTGAATGTATGGTGGTGGTTGTGATGATGGTGGGGCTAGAGGGGTTTTTCAACTCCGATTGGAATATTATCTTTAGATCTTCGAGATCGGAGGCCTACTTTGAGGCCACACTCCCATAAAGAATTAATACTGTAGTACAGTACTTAATAACAGAATATCCAAATTGTTTAACAAAAATTGAACCCACGGGGATATTGGGATTGAAGTGCAAGTCACACGGCGGTTTGAAAGACCATTGTTCAAGCGGTTTATGAATTGCTGAAAAAGAAAGTGCTAAAGAATATCAATATTTTATGAATCTCATGACTTATACGTGCATGCTTATATCATGCTTATATGGCGTCTTAACTTTGGCCGGCCTTGACATTCGCGTGAAGATCTGTCGCACCTGGCGTCAGGAACAATAGTTAGTTTGTTATTGTATGGTAATTACGATGGTATCTATGGTAACCAGCTGTGATTACCATACAATAACAAACCGATATGCAGTGAAAAGGCTGGTCGTGGGGGTGGGGAGGGGGTGGTGTTGAGAGTACTGAAGAAGATAAGAAAAAAATGAGGAGCACTTTGAGGAATAAGGTTCACAGGTGATTTTTAACTACTTGACTGCTTTTGGATCCTGCAGGAATATTTTATTGTCTAATTTCAAATTCGAACCTGCCGCCTTTCACTAACAGGGCGAGTGTCATACCATTAGAACACAAAGACCTACGGTATTGGCGCAGATTTAACTCTAGCAATTACCCTCATACAACGGACTTTTTATGATCATTCACAAGTGGAGCCATGGTTAAGCCAGAAACTAGCTTGTAGGTCGCAAGTGCTAAATCGTCTGTAACAAGTTTCATTGTTGTTCTGCAGAAATCAAGTGTCTTTAACAAGTACTACAAGTACAAGGCCATCAATTTCGAAACCAAACACTTAACCTCACCGACCTTACTAGAGTACAACAAACAATTGGCAAAATCATTAAAATGATAAGTCGGTTGGCCTATGGACATAAGCAGTTTCGTATGTTGATATTGGTGCTTGATAATAATATTTTGAAAAGAAAGATAATAAATTATTGATAAACCATACAGTTTACGACATTCAAATAAAATGTCCAGAAAAAATGCAATGATCTTTGTTTTGCAATTAAGTTTTTTTTTTTTTTTTTTTTTTTTTTTTTTTTTTTTTTTAACCGCACAAACACTCAATAAAAAATGTCAGTTTCATTACAATATATCGATTCCTTCTTAACGGCGACAAGTCCCCTTTTATGTAGGCCTATATATTAATATTTTTCTTATCCCTCTTTCAGATGAACCAAATCCACCTGTTGTTGGAGCGGCTATTTTGATGGCCGACGAAAATGGCGGAATCAAGATAGTCACTGTTATGAATACGACCTTTGGTATGATACTTGTAACGTAGGGTGGGGGGGGTGCTAAGTTCGATAATTAGATGAGGGGACGATAATTTTAAAAAATAAGGTGATTTTTAACTACTTGAGTGTGATTTCTTTTCTTGGAATATATTCGATGGGAGCAGGGGGTAGCGCGGGTATTGGAGAAGGGGAAGCGTGCACCCCCACCCTTTGGCGCCAGAAACTGAACGTAAATCCTTTTTTTTTTTGCAGAAAACAGTATACTCTTTGGAACCATTGCCGTTAAAGTGGAATACGGTGGAATTCAATTATATACCAACGAATTTCCTGTGTGCGACATGGCAGAAGAGGACGAGTTTTTCACCTGTCCAATGAAAGCAGGTATAAAGCTCGGTCTCCGTAGAATCGCTCACCCTATCGGCGACACTCTCCGACAGATGTCGGGAAGGTTGAACTTAGTTGCTTTCCCGAATGCGTCAACAGCTAGCAATGCACCCTGATTCGTCTGCAGTGCAATCGGCAAAGTTAAACCAGGTTCAACCTTCCCGACGCCTGTCGGCGGCTGTCGCCGATAGGGTGAACGATTCAATTGAAACCAAGCTTTATTATCATTCTCCTTATATTATTTCTAAGATTGCTTTAATAAGCCAATTCGTGGTTTGAACCACGCATGCCCGTATCAAGCTCAACGACATAGCCTAAACATACACACAACTTATATCGATGACCTTGGATACAGGCATGCGCAGTTCAAACTACGAATTAGCCCAATTGGGATTAACGTGTTCTTCCATGATCATTTCTGTACTTTCAGTTTGTTTTTTCCCCAAATATTCGCATATTCTGCCCTTGGCGTCGAATGTTGCAATGTTAATAATACTAAGTACCTTTAACAGTTTATTATGTTTTGATAGACATTCATCAAAATATTAGGCCTAATAGAATAACAAACAGTAAAGTAACTTTTCGGAAAATTTACAAAGAAAAATTAATTTTCATATCCGAACAGGTGACCAATATTACATGCGAGAAGATCATGTACCTGGGCTCCTACCAGCGGTGAGTTAGCTAGATATTTACTTACATTTCATATCGATAGGCATTTGATTTACAAAACTCAGTATATGAATTGAAAACAGTGTACTGATGACATTCAAAAAAATTGTTTTACAAAAGCAGTATTGTGTTTGCCCCTATTCGAGTTGAAAGACTGCTTCTTGCATAAATTACTGGGTGAAATTATTGTTGATGTTAGCATCAACATTAGCAAGAGTATTATAATAATGAAATAACCATTGAGAACGGTCCCAGGATCGAACATGTAAAGGGTTGCGTATCAACGGGAAATAGATCTATAGCATTGTCTAAGTTTATATATTTGGATTCGCATCAACATTAATTCATTGTGTATAATTTTCTGTTGTCTTGATCTATCTTCAACAGGGTAATTATTATACGGAGGCGAAACTGATAGATCACAATAAAGTAACGGTTGTCTGTGCGAACTGTGATCTGAATATAAAATAATATCAATCAAACTACATAGCCTAAGCTGGAACTGGGGGCCCGCGGCAGCCGACTGCAACTAGAATGAATCGAGAAACTGAGGTACTCCAGTGAAGTTGAGCTGCTTATCTCCAAGACAGACATCACAGGATACAAAGATGGAGCATGTTTGAATGCTTCTAATACTGTAAAATCTCGAATAGAAGCCCCATGGATGTGCTTAATATCGAGAAGATTCCCCCTCTTCTGTTTTCAAAAGTAATCTCGAAAAGAACGAAGCCAATCTCGAAAAGAAGCCTATTGGCTTGTAATCAAGACAATATAAGGGCTTCTTTCGAGATAGTACATTCAGATTGAAGTTGTCTTTATGATTATGATAGCGTATCAGTATTAATGGTAATTTAGTTTAATAATATGGTTAAAGTAAATAATAATTTAAAAAAAAACCATTTAACAGAATATTGAATTCCATAGTTGAAAAACGTCGTAAGTAGCAATTTCAAAATATACAACATTCATTTTAAAAAGAAGCCCCCCTCCCCTTTGAGTTTGCAAATGTTTTTTCGAAAAGAAACTTATTTTTAAAAAAAGGGTCACATCCAATAGGTTCCTAAACTAAAGGAAGAATCACATGGCTTCTATCCGAGTATTCGGTATATTATAACAAAGTTATTCTTGAATTACCTTAAATGGATGTTGTTGAAGTACGTAAGACAAAATTATTGGTACGTTTTTAAGCTCTTATGCCTAGGCCTTTATTCTAGATCTGAAAATTTTACATTAACACGCTAGTGTTACTGACTTCGACAGATCAAGCTACCAATGCAAATACTCAATGCAAATTTTCAGGTTGTATTTGTAAGCCTACATTGGCCAAAATAGTTAAGTTGGGGTATTGATGTGGGGTTTTTTTTTAACATGAGATAACCTTGTCATTGTTGAAAGATACCAAGAAAATCTTAAAGTGGCAGAACCATCATCATTATTTTAGGTGGGTCCGTCCGTATTTATCATGCCTTCTGAGAATATAAATATGAATAAATTAAACATACTGGGCTTTCTATTTTTGATTGGCCACGACGCCGCAGCGCGTGTAGCGTCTAAACCTAAACGCGTGCGTGACGTTAGGGTGTACAGAAGGCCTACGCGCAACAATGTGTACTAAAGCAAACACTGGGCCATGGGAAATGCCACTTTAATACTTAAATGATAATTACCGTTTGCTATGGTCGATAGAGATCAGTTGATATTGTATACTTTGGACAGTATTCGAAAGCCCAGACTGATTATAAGTACTGTATTGTGCACGGAGTTATGAGCATTATCTGGAATCCGTATGACCTTTAATGCATTATCTATACCAACGACGTTGAATACCACTAAAGTATTGATCTGTACACCCTTCTATCGGAAAATGTAGCCACAGTATGTAAAAAAAACCATTAAATCACTTACCGTATTTAATTCGAATAAACTCCCCGCTTTTAATAAACGCACCTTCAAGAGCCACACTTGAAATATAGGCCTCTCTCGAATAATCGACCTGAGGCGTTTATGTTTTTTTCCTCGAACAAACGCCCTAAATGATTGTAAACAAATCTAGTGGAAGCAACATAATACTCAACACATTCTATTAATGTTCTACTCCAGAAGGGTTACATTTTTTCTAAATTGATTGGAATCAATAAGTCTTTATGATGACGCAATGACACATTTGGAAGGATGTGTTGTAGTTACACATTTACAGTGACATTAATTGGCGTTT